GTGGAAGAAGTGCAAAGAAGCTTTACTTAAGTAAAAGAAATACCACAAAATACTCCAAGTATTCACTATATCCTCACAGTAGTAAACGATAATGTGTAAAAATCTGGTTCCTCTGGCTGCTCCTTGTGCTCCTAATCGCATTTGCAAGAATCCACCACGTCTGAACAAAAACAGCCAATCAGAGCCAAGAAAAATGTCTCAGCTCGTGGGATGAAACTCAACAAACATCTATTTTTTTACACTTTTATTGTAATGAAAAACAGTGAGGTAAACAGAAATACGCCTGTTCGCGGCCAAATCGACTGGCGAGGGGGTGGAATCAGTGGAGCTGACTTCTGCTTGTTGTCGAGAACCTGTTTGCAGCGGTCAGGGCTCGTCTCTGCTGCAGAAGACAAACTGGTCTGAGTCTGACTTCTTATTTTTTGCCACAGTCAGGACACACAAACAAACTGTATTCAAAATATTCAACTAAACAAAAATGCATGTGCAGGCAGCCGCACCTTCTGCCCCCCACGCTTGCTCCGCTACAGTGTGTTTGATATTCAGTGATATTATAATGTGTTTTTCATAGTTATAGTAAGTTTGAAAGTGAGTGCATGTAGACTAGCAAGACTGCTATATTAGCTCAGTGCACTGCTATATTGCTAGTTGAAAGACATGCTGCACTATAAAAAGTGTGTTTTACAGTAGCTTCAGTGTTTAAGACAGTATCATTCATTTAAGTAGGTTAAAGCTGCCTTTTATGTATCGCTCATTTTACTACTTCGCTTTGAGTTAAATTTGTTGGCCTGTCGCATTCTATTGTGACTGTAGTATAAACAGTAACGTTAATTCATTATCAGCCTGAGGTTTATGATCGAATTATAGAGATTGTGACTGGTTACTATAGGAAGATTATAAGGCTAACATTAGTAAACAAGTATTTGTTCGCTGTAGTATTGTTACTAAAGTAACATATCTGAAAAATATCTGAATATGCTACAAAACCTTAACTGTAGTGCTTTATTCAGCACTGACGCTTTGTTAACTATGAGTTAAAGAGTTAGATAGACCATCATTCAGCCAGGCACACTGCAACATAAATCAGTCACACCTTTGCACTGGGCGACATGTTGCTTCCTTACAATGAACTTGGCCACTGTAGGTTATTACGAGTCAATCCCACATACACTGTCCTGCTGCCCTAAATACTCACTAGAGCACCAAATATGCTGTAATCCATGGTTAAATGTTTTTTTAAAATTAGGTCTTGAGTTGGAACAAACAGACTGAGAGCTGTGTGATGCAGAACATTTGTTTTGGCCTCTTGATGGGATTGCTGATAATTACAAAAATATAGAACAATGCCAGCCTTATGTCACAAGAGTGATTTTTGATCTCCCTGTTATGTTATTTTTTTGTATCATTAAAACTAGTGCAAGGAACAACAGAGTATAGAAATTGACTGCACAGAGCAGGATCATCCATAGTTGCACACGGAGATCGGAGAGGACTGCTGCTGCTGTGTGTGTGTGTGTCTCGTTCACCCTTCGCTTGACTGTCAATCCCAGGAGTTCCCGCCCCCTCATGGTACTGGATTATGGGTTGAACTCAATTTGAATGCAGAGTAGCACCAGTCTCTATCTGTCTCTCTCTCTGTCTGTTTTGTCGTGGTGTGTCACTCTTCTCCATCCGTCTCTCTGAAATAGATATATTCACATAAAACAGACACCACACACATGCTGGCTGTTCACGCCTGCAGATTCTCACAGTATGACACAGTCAGTCAGACACACTCAGACACACACACACACACACACACACACACACACACACACACACACACACGTCAGCTCATGCAGTTGGTTCCCAGTGGACAGCTGGTCAGTGGTACATGCGCATACAGAAAGAATACCCGGACATGCGTCCATGTATCCATTTGTTGTACAGTGAGTGTGGCTGTATTTTTTAAGTTTTCTGTCATTTAAACAATTTCACTGACTGACCTAATAGGAGCTCTACAATTACTGGTTTTCACACCATACATGATGGTTTTGACCCAGCTGGTCCAGTTTTTAATGAAACTTGGACACATTTGGCTCAGTGTTATAGTGCTGAAATAACTACTAGTAGTAATCTTGTTGAAGGGAAAAAGATGGTCAGATGTTTCAAATATCAAAAGGACATAACTACTGTACCCCTGATTAAGTTTTTACACAATTTTGATAATTCATTAATGAAACAAAAAGATAAACATTTGCTGCCTCTAGCTGATTTTCACAGAAACTACAGGCACTGGGAAATTGGCTTTTTTTATGATTTTGTAGACCAAATAATTAAGCAATTACTCAAAAATATGGTTTGTTTAGTTGCAGCCTGTCATTAAGGCAGAATCAGGGGTGTAGTGAGGGTCAAAACCCAATAAACTCAGTTTTTGAAAGGCTGTAGGTTTGCTGATCTATTTTCAGATAAACTTTATCAATCAATATGAGTGATAGCCTACAGTTGTATTTACCACTACACTCCTGAGAAAGATGTATCTTATTAGCATCATCTCTGGGTAATGATTTGAAAAAGATGAATTTTGTTTCTTATTGTTAACAGAAACAGCATCTTGTAGCATAAAATCAGATTCTTTCTGGTAGAACTTTGGAATCAAAATATGAGATTTGGACGAAGATTAAAACACATTATTTGAAAACGTATTCTTGACAATTTATATGCATTTGACCTTTCTGCAAAGGACAAATCTTAGTCCTCATAATTGTTAAAACTCCGCTGTAGTCCACAGTTCAGCTGATTGGTTTGCCAGCCAAAGACCTCCCCACTTACTCTTAATCACCTATTGATTGACCAGCTGGATGAGGGTCCAGCTTTAGGTCCTCCTAACCACATCGCTTCCTCTTTGCATCAGAATCATCGTGTTAGAGACACATTGACCTGCGAGGTGCTCCGGTCGCTGCTTATTGGCCTTGACACTGCTCGATGGTGACAACGTTAATTGTCAACATCTGGAAAGTGCTTGCCATCGCACATCCCTGCGCAGAATGAAACGTAGTGATCTGTCATAACGTGTCAGAGGAAATTAGCATCAGTCAAACATTGGTGGGTGGAGGGGCGAGGACAGGGGGAGTCGGGGTTGTCCTGCCAACATTATCCGAGATTTTCCTGAGGAGGGGGGAACGGGGTGAACGGCTGTTAGGGGAGTAATTTCATGGCAAAGAGATTTACATGAATGTGTTTCCTCACAGAGTCACTGTCTATGCTGTGAGAAGATGACTTCTGTTTCTTATTACAACTACTAACACTAGTACTACAGCTACTACTGCTATAATGACCAATTCTCTTTTTACAGTTACTACAACACAACAACTAGTATTACCATTGTTACTGTTACTGTAGTTGCTACTAAAACTACTAATAGCCTACTGCTAGTATAATTACTAAAACTATTGTTATAAACATACTATTACTGTTGTTAATATTGTGTTGTTTTTACCGCACTACTGCTACTGCTACCTCTACTATTGACTATTACTACTACTTCTTCCAATGCAACAATACTACTACAGATATTACGATATTCATTATTATTACTATTATCCCTTCTACTTTGGCAGCTTACTGCTAGTAGTGTTGCAACCAACACCAACTACAACTGCTGCTTCTATTCTCGTAATTATTATATTGTTAATGCTTCCACAAATTATACTGTTACTATTAGGCTACTACTACTGTAGCTACTACCAGTATTACTTACTAATACTGTCACTCCTCCTACCGCTAGCAAAATAATATGTTTTGGCTTTACTTGTATTTCTTTAGTCATACATGAAAGAAAATAATTATAAAACCACACAAAGCCACCACTACCACTTCCACTACTACTATAGTAGTAATAATAATAATAATAATGATGATTATGATGGTGATGATGGTGATAATAGCACTTTTGAAGGCACACATTAAAGGTTTCCCCACCTGCTGTAAAAAGTATGAGAGGCAGGGAATTTAAAGATGTTGGACCTCAGCTTGTAACTCAGACTTGTAGGAGCCTCAAGCAGGGCTCTCCCAAAGTCCAGGCTTAAGGAAAGTAAAGGGTGTTACTTTGGCTTTACATCAACCTGTACGGGAGGCTCAGTAAATGTAGTAAAACATTTGAACAAATAGGAGTTGATTGCTTCCATTAAGGCAGTTATTTTTGTATTAGAAGTTTTCTGAAATGTTATTAAATGTTATATTTAAATATGTAAATGAGGCATTATCTAAATCTAAATCTAATCGACTTAGCCTAGCATCCCGTATCCTCTTTAAGATCACTTTTTAAAATCTGAGTTATAGACTTATTTGAATATGTTCTTTATTTCTTCTTGTAGCTGTTACCCTTTTTTAATAATAATATTCTTATACTTATTGTATATATACACCATATTATGTTGTGTTTTTAATTTGTTATATGCATATTATGTATTTGACTGTTTTATGGTTCATACTTGATCGTTGAAGCCCTTTGTATACTCAAATGTTAAAACAGCGATTTAAATAAAGCTCATGAAATTCGCTTTAATCAAAAGGAACAAACACCAGTCTACAATAAAGGTAATACTTGCCCAGCACTGCTGACTTCATATAGCAAAAAACAATGTTCTTTTTTATCTAGTCTCATAGAAAAGCCTGCATGGTCACAATATCTTTGTCTTATCAGAATGAATCAATATTGAATTTATGTAAAAAAATAAAAATAAAAAATGCAATAGCAAAAGAGCAACAACCTGGACAAAGGAAATCCACTGGTTTATTAATAGAACAAAATGAAGAGTTTTATAACAAACTGAAACAACCCTTGCTCGTTTTAGAGGACGGAGGGGTACCTGAAGTGGCATGCTTTTACATACTGCATATTCTGTATTTTTAAAAATGTAATGAACAGAAAAATAATTACTCTTTCAAAAAGCATAGCATTGTTTAACCCTGAGGGAGCCCTGCTTCTGTCTAAGCGTTGTATTCTTTTATCTTTTCAGGAAAGTGACAGTTTGTGGTGGGACGCCTTTGCTACAGAGTTCTTTGAGGAGGACGCCACTCTCACACTCTCCTTCTGCCTCGAAGATGGACCAAAGAGATATAGTAAGAGTCCTATAATATTTCAGCAAACCACCAACGATCCAATAAATACTTAATTCTAAGTAATTTAATTTTGCTTAAGGAACAGTCCATTCGTTGAGTTTAAAACTTGAACTCTTTAGTGGATTTCTCTTATCCATTGTATTTCATATAAAAGTGGAAAAACTGCTGGTACATGCGTTGATGACATTTTGGTCTACACAACCTTCGTCAGGCATCTGAGGGTTTTTTTCACTTCTCACTGCCCTCCCACACACGTGTTATAAATTCTGGTGTGTGGAGCCTTCTTCAGTTCTATTTTTTTGAAAGGGTCTTCAACCAGCGACCTACTGGTAACATGTCCAAGTCCATCGGTATTAGGTTGCTGGTGTCCCAATAAAAAGTTTAGCAGCTGAGACGGACAAACCACCGTAATGTGCTGAGATATTTTGGAGAAAAATCCCTCATACTCCGATACCTCAGTCTGTGGTATTCACTCATTCCATTCAGACTGATTTTATGATGAAATGGAAAAAAAAAACATTTATTTGGTATTTCCACTTTGCTTCAACCTGCTTTGTCTACTTCCAGTTAAGTTATTGATTTCCTACATTTCCCAAAATGCCTTTTAACACCTCTAAGAAAAAATGTGTTAACCTGAAAAGAAAGAAAAAAAGATTTGTACCACTGAGTCAAGCATTTCTGCATTGTGCTCTCCTGAGTCTCTGTCAGTGAGAAAATTGGTATCTCTCCATCTTCTAACAATAGTTTTCTCTCTGTATATGATTGCTGAACATTGGTGCAACACCACACAACTACTGGTAACCTCTCTCTGAAAATTTCATCACAGGACTCTTTTGTGGCCTGTGCTTTTTAAATAAAAATGTAAATGTAAACCACAGTCTTGAAAATAGGCAAATTATTGGGTATATCTGTATTGCGACACTTCACAAAACATCTTCCTTTGTGCAAGATCATATTGGCGGTGCTTGGGTTTTGCTATCTTGGCACTTCTTACGCACTGTAGATGACTGCAGGACAACCTGATACCATATCTGTATTGTAAATATTTTATTTCCATTAGAATTGAGAAGTTGGAGGAGTGATGTTGGGCTTTCAGGGTAAAGGCGTGTTCATTTTCTGCATAGACAGTGTTAGCTGACAAGCAGAGCTCTTCAAGGCTTGGGTGGACATGAATCCCTGATTGTTTAATCATCAGAAAGTGAGTGGGTGTGTTACAAAATGTCTGGCTCCTTCATAAAAAAGTCAAATGTACAAGACTGTACATAAAAATGGAAGGAGATAAGTCCCAATGACTGTTGTGGTGAGGGTCATCCAATCATAGTGTTAGTCAGTGTGATGCTCACAGTCGGTTTACGCTAAAGATTTGTATTTTATACAATATGATAAAACATTTAGAAGTTTAGTTCACTCCACTCTTAAATTCTGGGTCATTTCAGATGAATTTGCCATTTTGTTCCCAACTGCATCAACAAAGGATTTGCTACAGCTCAGATTTGCACCTCTGCATGGCTTCTTCTCCATAGCAACAGTGGCTGAGGCTCATTGGTACTTTAGTACTTAGAGCCAACCACTACACCAATCTAACAGACTATAGCATCATTTCTAAGAAACCGGCATTTAAATAATAAAAACTGATGACACAAACCTATAGTATCCTCAGACTGTATAAGAGACTCCCTTTTTTCTATGTTAAAGAACATTGAAGATATCATCAAACGGAAACGTTCAAATAGGAATGAACAGTGGCGGAAAAATACTTCAGGAACCACTCACAACTCTATACTCAACTAGAGTTGTTGGCATGCTGTAGGCTACTCATTGAGTTAATTTCATATTAGTCCTGCGAGGGAAATCATTTCAGCTTTAAAATAATAGTTCAACATTTTGAAGAAATTTGCTTATTGGCTTTCTTGATGAGAGTTAGATGAGAAGATTAATACCTCTCTCATGCCTGCGAGTTAAGTGTGAAGCTGGAGTCAGGAGGTACTTAGCTTAGCTTATTATAAAGACTGGAAGCAAGGGGAAAGCTAGCCTGGCTCAAGTAAAAAAAATACCCCTCTACCTGTTATACACACTGACTAACACATTGTATCTTGTTTGTTTAATCCGAACACAAACAGAAAGGACATCATGAGGTTTTAGGGGTAGTTATTGGTATTTACAAGTATTTCTTGGTGAACAACAGTGACTTCATGGAATCTTGGCATCTCAGTGAGGTTGCCGGGCAACCAGTGGTGACACTGTTCATAAGTTATGGACAGTTAAAACTGTTCGTCAAGAATATTTACACCACGTAACTCCAAAGCCACAAATTGTTAACTACTAAGCTTTAGAGGTGTTGGTAGCAATATTTTTCAACTTTGAAGAGAGCCTAGCTAGCTGTTCCCAATCTTTTTCATTTTTTTCTGCCAATAACATCTGTGCAGTGTCACCACTGGTTGCCTAGCAACCTCATTGTGACATCAAGATTCCAAGTCAATGTTGTTTCACCAAAAAATAGTAATATAATAATAACTCTGTCCAAAACCACATATTGTTGTTTTTACATTTCTGTTTGTGTTTGGATTAAACAAACAAGGTATAGCATTTGAATTAGTGAGCTTTAGAGGCGTTATAGCTATATGTTTAAGCCTGGGTAGAGCCAGGTTAGCTGTTATCTCCTGTTTAAAGTCTTTATGTTTAGCCAGCATAATCTCTTATGAACAGACATGAGTGGTATCGATTATCTCCTCTTAATCTTGGAAATAAAGTAAATGAGTGTATTTCCAAAATTGTGAAACTATTGCTGTAAGTTCAATTTCAGTTAAATCTTCTTATAGTCTCTGAGCCCCAAGTTCCACCAGGCATGGCTTTATGTGCTTCATATGACGTTGTGACGTTTGGCTCCGGGATCTGCACGTCTTCAAATCCCGCCAAGAGCATTTTAGAAGCGGAGCGTCTTCAGAGAGTTTTGCCTGCCCACTGTTGTTTACATGTGTATTTTGTCCTTCTGTCAAAAATAGACCAGCTGTGTACGCTATGACGAGCAGAGCGGAGAGGCATTTTTTTTTGACGCGCCACAGCGCTTCTGGTGGAATTTTAAGCATTGTCTAAAACGGACGCGATCAGCTGTGCCTGCTAGAATTTGGAGGTTTGGCCCCTGCACAGTGTTGTTTTTTTAAAGAGGTTGCGAGGGCCTTAGTTTCAGAAATCATTGAAACACTTCATTCTTTGTATGAGTCAGTGTACTAAGAACATGAGTTAGAAACCCCAAGACTGCAGCTATGTGGTCTTCAGCAGCAAATGACAGAGCAGAGAGGCTGTTATTGAGTTTGTGATATTGTCCCCTTCATCTCATCTGCATAGGTTCATGTTTTGATATCTGAAACATATTGAATATCACACAGACATAGATAAGGACGTGGTGCTCTGAAATGAGCAGAACTGTGTGTAGCATCTCCTGTGCGTGTGTGTGTGTGTGTGTATGTGTGTGTGTGTGTGAGAGAGATCCAGCTCAGTCATGAAGGAGGAAGAGAGAGAAGAGAGGGAGTGGAGGATTGTTGTGAGCTGGGCCCTGGTTCGCTTTTCAAATGTAAAAATAAAAATCCCCAGTGGTGTAGAGACGGTAACCCTGTTCCCCCGGGAACGGGAGGCTTAACACCATGGCGATGATGACTCACCGTCAGTCGCGAGCGTTCCTCGATTCACATTCAGGTGCGCTAAGTTACACACATGCACAAACACATCATCCAGGAAAAATCCACCTCACCCTCATGTACCCAGCTGCAGATTTGCCTCAAAAGAAAAACTAAGAATGACACCTTGTAAAAGTGATGTTGTCTGCCTAGGCTTCATGTTGGCAGCATTATATATAGAAAACAACAGGACAGTGTATCATACAGCAGGAGATTGTCATGTACTTCCCAGTTAGATATTTTGCCCAGTGCTCAGTGCTCGGTAATGTCGTTAATTTTAGCTGCAGCTACTGAACAACTTCCAATGATCCAGCAGTAGGAGGACTTGCTCAAGCTTATGTAAAAGTGTTTGGGGAGAATCATGTATTGGTTAACTTTCCATGAATGATGATAACAGAAACACAAAATAATCCACTGCAGATCTTAGGCATGCTGACCATTTTAGCATTTCTGTTTTCAGTTGATACAGCTTACCAAACTGGCTTTCAAAAGTGAGAAAACTAGAAGTAATTAGCTACAACTAATGAGTATTTTTATAATTGATTAATCTGCCAATTATTTTCTCAATTATTCAGTTAATGATTTCCCAAAGCCCAGGCTCAGGTCTTCATATTGTTTTTTTTATTTATTTATTTAGTTTGAGTAGGATTCAATAGGATCTAGCGGTGTAGTTACCCATTACAACGTCCCTGCCTCAACTTCCCCGTTCCAAGCGTGTAAGAGAAACTATGGTGGCCACAAAACTTGTGAGAAACAGAAAAGGCACTATCTAGAGCCTAGAGTTTGTTTTGTCCCTTCTGGGCTACAGTAGAAACATGACGATTCAACATGGTGGGATTGTAGATAAAAATGTCTCATTCTAAGGTAACGAAAACACAATGATTCTCATTTTCATACACTAATGAAAACATATCAATGTCCATAGATCTTCGAAATGTTTCAGCTCTAAAAGTCAATTGCAAACCGACATATATACCACATGTATAAATGAAACAATGTGTCTATATAAATCTATATTCATATATATATATTTTTAAATATATATATTTGTTGCTAAAATACCACCACATGCAGTGTGACTTTGGCGATGTCTACTTCTATCTAAATGAATTATCACAGCTTCAATCTGTGAACAAAATAGAGAAAACTCGAACTTGTAGTACATTTAATTTGAATTTCAGCAAAAGTCTGGATGTGCACTAAATATGATATAAAAATTATGCAGCATAAGCTGCAAGGTTGTTTTTTTTCTGTAACTATATAATGTGAACATAGTGGTGACAAAATGCACACAGAAAAATAATGTATGTAAATGTAAATATATGT